ACTAAGAGGCAGAGGCTGAAGAGGGGCAGCTCTTAGCACAGGCAGAAGTCACTATCAGAAATGTTTGTTGACAAGATAGAGCCTGGGGAGGAATGGATGACAATACTGTCCAGCAAAATAAGTTATTTTGGACTGAGGGCACTGGGAATGGATGGCTGACACATGCAAATATAGGTGGGTGGTCGCAGGAAGGACAAAAGTAATTAAAATCAAGAGCATAGAGAAACCATGTCTCTGGAGAACAGCAAATCATATGCAGCGCCACTTTGGCACATGATGACAAGACCAAATTCATGTGCAGTTTGTGAACATTAAATATTTCTAGGTTGGTGAGAACATTAAGAGGAAGCGGCTTACAGCCGTCTTCTCTAGATAAAAAATGGCTGTTTACCGACTACTTATGTACCAGTCCTGACCTACGGGTGTGAATAATGGGCCATGACAACAGCCCACAGTAGCCAGCTTCAGACCATAGAAATTAGATATCTGAGAAAGGTGGTCCAAGTGACAAGAAGGGACAAAGTTCACAACCAGACAATATGTCAAGATCTTTAAACCCAGGCCTTACAAACTCGATTGAATCACAGTTACAATGGTTTGGACATGCATGCAGAATGGGAAAAAAATCGGCCACCATGGCAGGCAGGGGAGGCTAAGAACCAAGGAATCAGACCACCAGGGCCTGTTGAGAAGACAAAATCCGACAGTCCCTGATGGAATGGACAGAGGACTGGAATAAAGCCAGAAAGAAAACTTTTGATATAGAAGTCTGGTGATCTCTCTGGCAAACTACACCCCAAGGTAGAAGGTTAGTTGCGTATCCTTTACAGGACGTTGCAGAACCAACACCATCAGCCCCTGGCTGTTGTGTGGTTTGACTAGGCAAATTTACGTCCAGAAGTTTGCCATTTCTTTCTGGATGGCCGGCTCCCTGATACCACTGTCGAAACCAACACAAGGCATATGGCCCGCAGCTGGGATCGAACCTGGTAGCCCGGCATTACAAAGCGTTCGCATCGACTTAGCCACAGAGCCGACCCAAGGTAGAAGAGGGGTTACTAAATATATAAGTATATAATGAACTTATTTGGGAAGGTGCATTACTGAATAGGATACAGGATACACTGCTTTGTTGAGTTGAACTAAGGTAAGAATTGACATCACAGCACTTAGGACACTTTCATAAGTGCTCCAGGATTATCTTCAGCAGCCAGGAACGAGCTCCAGTGTCAATGGTGACAGGAGTAGTTTGGTTAGATGTCTCTTTTGCCACTTGTCTGAGTACAAACCAGGTCCCCTGGTGCCACACTTCTAGCTGTACCAGCGCCAGGTCTTAATGATCTACTCAAGCTTATGTCTTTAATGAATAAATGAATCAAGATTTGACTTCACTGCACTCGGGACATTCCCAAATATGCTCCATCCCCTTCTTCAGCAGCCAACGAAGAGTCGACATGTTAACAGTAAAAGCTATAACCTGATTAAACCTCCATCTATGTTTTCCTCTCAGTGTTGAATATATTCCAGAGCCTTTACTTCTCGCCCATTGAATTAATCTTTTAATGTATGGATTGCGTTGATCAGTCCATTTGATCCCAGCCTTCTGCCTTTAAACATAGAACTAAAATTTAAAGAAAAAATGTATAAATTCAATCTGAGGCTACATAATATTTAGCATATATTAGCTTGCCAACAAATAAGACTTACAAAGCTGTTTGTTTGGAATGAATGAATAATATTTATCATTACATGCTGCAGTGTGCACAAGTGCACCAACAAACAATATAAAATTCAGCATTACAATAATGAATACATTTCAAAAGTTGTAACCTATTCTTTTCTATGATACAAGCAAGAGAAAATTACAGGAATTTTTACAATAATAATACAGTAATAGGTTGTGTGAAATCTGTTTCAAAGAAGTGTATTACAAAATTAAGAAGCTAGAACCTACACATACACACAATCAAAAGTTTTAAAACTATAATACAAAACAAAGTTTTACAACCTTAAAAGTTAAGAGTAGAAAAATAATTTTACCTGCCAACACATAAATTCAAGTTCAGCTGTCATAAGTGGAGAGATTTTAGTCCAATTTGTCAGACTGAAGACATTCACCATTTTTTTTCCCCCTGCACCCCAAAACTCTCCCCTTAATATATATGTGAACAGATGCTTTCATTAGCAACAAGGAATAGACAATTTAGCAGAGGAAAAAGTTTTAATAGGTCTCAGTACAACAGTGACAGTATATCTTCATTACACAATAGTAATAACATGACATAGGTCAGTTTTTGACAGCTTTACTTAGTGTCAACTGGTCTATTTTTTTCAGACTAGAACTATCTACCTTATGCGCTGCATGGCTAGAAAAGCCATTCCATAGTATCGGGTTATATTTCTGTGGCAAACAATTTGACAGCAGATGCCTTGCATTGGTTTCAACAGCAGTATCGACTGGGGATTGTTCAGGAAGCAATGACAAGCCACAGAACATACAGAACTGCCTAGTGAAATCACAATCAGCCAAAACAAACTGCTGGGGTTGCTTCTGCAATGTCCTGCAAAGGACACACAACTATGTGGAAAACATTCCCATTTATGAACATAATAAGGAAAGCATACAAGGCTTTGTGATTACATTAGACATATCAGATTAGGTTTGTTTGGCTGAATGAAAGATTCATTTAACAGTAAACATAGACTGAGGGAAGGACACTAAACAACTGGAATATCTGTTACAAACAGATACTAAAATAAAAAAAAAAATCATGAAGATTCATGCATATTTTCACTGATGATACATACTGAACATTTTATGGAATGTCATAAATGTGAACAATTTATACAACAGTATAGTATTATGTATCAACTTGTAATGGTTGAGAAAGCAAAAACAGATCAAAGTTACAACCATCTACCCATCATGACTTTCATTCAAATCAGTTATATTGTTACATAAATTTCTACTTTCGTATCATTTATCCTGTGAGGTTTCTCAGACTTCAGAACTGTCTGCTACAGAAACACTGTTCTCACTCAGTGAGTAACTGCTCAATTCTCAGTGATCTTAATTCATTTTACATATTCTCACATCTGCCTATTTAGCCATAACTGATATTTACTTTTGGCCCTTATTTCTTGTGAAGACATGTGGCAGATGAAGCTTTTGAACCCCACCAGCCCAATGTATGATCAAGCCTGCATAGGGTTAATAAACCTAGAGAGAATCTTCTCCTTGAATGGCTAGTGGCCATTTTTCTCCCTAACAGAATGATACTTAATGTTACTGTTTGTGCAAATCAAGTGATTTAACCATACACACACACACAGCTAGTCAATTTGATATGTAATCTGCCCCACTTTCCTGCATCTGTGCCTGTTTTTTGTTGTTTGGTTAATTTGCATGAAGTCCAAATTCAAATCAGAAGGTGAAGCAATTACTGACAGAACATACAGTCTATCTGACAGGCAGAAACTAAGGCACAGCCTGGAATGTCTAAGGTACGGTCATTTCATTCACCACTTGTATACTCTCAAACACATTGTTAATATACTCCCACACACAAGGCTTTCAAAGCTGTTTCCATGCCATATCCCACAGCCAGACAAAAAAAGTTAAGGCACAGTAGTTGCCAGAGAGGACTACAGATACTCACAACAACAATTTCAAATTTCACATTCAATTATACAAATGATCAACTCATTCTGTATCAAACAGATCAGACAGGATCAACACAAACAAGGCTGTGAAAAGTTCCAAAATGTCCCAAGAAAATCAGAAGACTAATAAAAAAAAAACTCACGGTGGAAGCAACAACGTATGTGGGGAAAAGTGCAAATACGGCAAATATGCTGAAAACAGAGACCAATTATATAAACTGGCCATGAGCCAGATAGCTCTCTGCCAGTGTCTTCATGCTGAACAGACTCCTGAACATGACTTGCAAGATGGTCCTCTATTGGCGCAGCTACGAAGCAATATTTGGCCACACACAGCAGACCTGAGAACTAAGCTTTGAGTAAACCTAAGAGACCTTGAGATGACATCCCAGTTTATTGCCCACAATGGATTAAGCACATGACTAGGGATCACTGAAGAAGAAGCAGAAATAGAAGACAAAGATGAAAAAAAAAAAGAAGAAGAAGAACATATTTAAAAAAAAAAAAAAGAGACACAATCCAAACATATCATTATGACAATTGATGAAAAAGAAGAAGATAAGATCAACTAATCCCAAAAGAAAACAAAAATACTCTGATCTGGTATTCTTCAGTGTTGAGTTGTCTACTCATAGCAACAGTATATCATTCTTATCAAGTTGAAGGTCATCTTCAGTTGATTTAGGAGTCTACAGAAATAGTAGCTGCTGGAGATGGATGTGTAGGGTTCTTCCAATATTTAAAAGTGCAAAAGAGCTTAAAGTCATTTCTATAGTTTTCTATTGTTATTTATGAAGAAAAAAAGTCTGAGAGTCATATAGAGATGGATGGAATATTTTGGCCACATTATGAGACATAACACGCTTATAAAAACCATGCTGAAGGATAAAATTGCAAGCAGATGAACAAGAGATAGACATCAATACAAGTGAGAGGATACCATCAAGAAATGCATAAACAGCAGTCTGACAGAGTGTACAACCAGGAAGGGAATCAAAGAGTATTTGAGATCTACTGCAGTATTCTTCACTGTAGAGACAAAATCCGACTGAAGGAGCAACCAAAACTTCCTTATTATAAGAGTTAATTCAGATGATTCAACCCTAAAGGCTTAGAGGTCAATATCTGGTGAAATGTTTGCATGTTGTGTCAAGTAAATAAAAAAACGATGATTATTTGTTTGTAGTCTGAGTTAAACCCATGATGAAATACTTAACACAGAATGAGTCAAGACATTGTTGTCATTGTTCAACACAAGAGTTCACTCTTAAAATGTCTGCAATTGCCACTAACAAACAAAAAACATTCGCAACCATCTACAATCAGCAACAAACCAGTCACAGCTGCCGGACAATCAACACTAAAGTACTCAAAAGAGCAAGAACAATCCCTGGAATGATTGAGAGTTGTGAAGCTCCATTACAGCCATCAGAACTACAGGTATAGATGCAAGCTCTGTACATTCGATCATGGTCAGGAAACCAAATATCTTGGCACTGGTCACCCATGTCCCTGGAGCTGCAGAACCTGTGGGTCCCCACCACACCTGGACAAACAAGATTTAGATAACCATCAAATCTAAGGTGAGTTAAGAGTCTGCAGAAATACACTAAAGACATGTTCAACATCCTTCTTCTTCTTCTTTTGATGCTTGGTCTGAAGCCCATACTCAGAACCAGGACTAATTTTTTTGGGTCTGATATTTTGATGGAGTTATTATTACATAAATATTTTTTACTCTCAAACATACATGTGGTTCTGTTGTCCTTAGCGTCTTTTGCCCAGAACATCACCATATAATTTGTATACTTCACTTCCTCAATAAAGATGTTTCCCTGTGGCACACCTCATATATAACAAACTTGGTAGTTGAAAAGTCATAAAGTTAAGACTCAAAACTGCAGTGACTCTGAAATAAAAAAGCAACTCTTTCATGAAGCCGATACTCAACACTTACAAGAAAGGCAAGACTGACAGATAATCAAACTGCAGCTGGCAACATCAGAACTTGAACTCTTAACTGACAGATGAAGATCAGGATGGACTGTCCTGAGTGCTGTATGTTAGTTTTTGACTTAACTCACCATAGACAATAAACAACAACAAACATACCTTTAACGACAAGCAACGTCTGATTTCATGTCCTGACACTATAACCATTTGGTTGCCAATAACATTTACAATAAATAAGGTCTGAATACATGGCACAGTTGGGGCATAGAAAGGCATGGGGGATAGAAAGGCAGAATACATGGCTCAGTGAGTTGTGACCAATTTTTGTGACACAAACAATGACAAGTCCACAAGCAGCACTGTTACACGGAAGCAATCTCAAGGTCAAGAACCGTCCCATATATGACTAGAATTACACAGAGAAATGTCCCCCAGCTCATGTACTAATGTTTCCAGGAAGGCTTACCAGGGCATCAAATGCTTGCAGAAGTTGGATGTATCGGCTGAAAGGCACAAATATCACACCCATGTTGAAAATTGACACAATGCATTTATATCTTCGGATGAGAACTGAAGAAGTACTAATATTTTACTAAAATGTTTATGCATCTGTAAGATACCCTTACCCTAAGTTATAAAATATAATTTTCCTTCAAATTAATGAAATTTTCTATACAGGAAATTTAGTAGACAAAGCCATATTGGTAGATGATGATGATGACATCTTTAGATTTCATGACCGACATTTAAATGGAATCAGTCGTCTGAAGTTGTTTTTTTTTTCATTGATGTGAAGATACAGATGCCTAAAAGAACCAGATCTAGTTTATAGACCACTAAATTCACCAGACTGTTTTCTCAATTCTGGGACCCACCAAACTTCTTGATGAATTTGAATTTACACATATTTAAAGTAAGCATCCAATAGCAGAAAAAAATGAATGATGTTTAAGGTGACATTACCTCCCCACATTCCAGTAGCTTTCACACAAAACTGGGCATTCCAGAGGTTACAGGCAGTGTACTTCTTATAGTTGACTGTCAGGCTGCTGTCCCATTTCTCCTGACAGTTACTGTCTAGTGTGGAGTCACACTGGTAGCAGTTGAGTGCAAAACCTAAAATCAAAAGTAACTTTTAGAATTCCCCTAAAAAAATGACAGATTACTCTTCTCCTTGCTGTCCTTCTCCCTTGCAACAGATGCTTACCCAAAAACTCATCTGGCGGTGTCTTACATGTCTTTCTCATTGTAGCAAGCATTACATGTCAAAATGAAAAATCCACACGCATATGTACACATACATACAATGCTGACTTCCTATAATGTTGGACTTTACATCAGCAATGTCTTATTTACCACACACAAAAAGGGAAATTGATAGACATTCAAGATCTGTTTACTGTCCTTGAATATTAAATACTTTTTTTTTGGGGGGGGGGGGGGGGAGGGGGGAAGGTCCGAGGGGGGGGGGGGGGGGGGGAATATATATCAATATATATATATATATAAATATATATCAATATATATATATATATATATCAATATATATATCTGCACCTGTCAGTCAAAAACTGATTTCAGCATACTCTCAATTAATTACTTTTTACTCCTTTAGGACATGCTTATCCTGGGCAGTGTGCCGATCTTTTCCGCCTTCAATAGGGCCCCAGAATCCACAAAGGGGAATTCTTATTATTTATTGTTAAATAATAAAAAGACAATCACAAACCAGCACAGTAAATGTTGGTTCACTGTGGTGGTTGAACAAATGAAATCCTTTGCTTGCCATGAAACAAGCTGGGTGTTAGTTAGTTAGTTAGTTAGTTGGGTTATCCTCATTGCACTCCGGACATGTCCATAGGTGCTCAGATCCTCCCCTCAGTATGAACCCCAACGTCCGATGGCTAATAGTACCAGTTCTATGTTGATTAACAAGTCTCCTGGCGTAGCTGGTGTGCGTCTCGTTTTTTGCTGTGCCGATCTTAATTCCCAAGTCTGCCATTCTGGCGAGTGATGTGGATTCACTGCCACCAAAGTCCTCTCTCCTTCCCATTTCTCTGAGGGCATTGATAATATCAGCATGATCTATAGGCTGACCGTCGGTTGTGATAGCGGATCCAGCCAACCTGTCAGCTCTTTCATTTCCATCGACGCCTGCGTATCCCGGAACAAAAATAAAGGTGACTCCACGAACAGTGGACTTCTGTAATGATTCAAGTCATTGTCTTCGCACTGAACCTGCCTGAACCCTCCGAATCATACTCATTGAATCACTGAGTATACACACGCGGGTGTATTTTTGTGTTTCAAGCCAGGCAAGCGCTTGTGTCACTGCCATCACCTCCATCGTCATGCTGCTGGTTGTCATGGAGAAGGCGCCGTTGGCTTCTTTGACTGTTCTGCCAGCTGAGCGTGCTGTAAATGCCCATGCGCTTCTTCTTTGGCGTATAACGGATCCGTCTGTATAGATTATTGCATCTGCTTCGTCTGAATTTTCACCGATGAGAGCGTTGACCTCTGCATTAACAGCAACAGGATTCTCTTCTCTGCATCGCCTGTTGAGTGTGACAATACAGGAAAATGTACAAATAAACGCCTGAGGCACAGGTATCCATTCTGCACCAGGTATGATGTCGGTTAGGCTGCATATTTGCCTAATAACATCTTCTGCCCGACCTAGCCACGATTTCCCCCTCTTCAGCCTGTCGCCCTTTTCACTAAAAAGCGCTTGATGCAGTGGGTGTTTCTTATCAGCACATATTTTGAGATATGCCCGAGCCCTCTACATCCTGATCCTTTGGTTCATTGTTGGAAAGTCAAGTAGATACCTCATTGCTCCACAGGATGTGTCTCTAGTACATCCCAAAATAATGCGCATGGCTTCATTTTGCACCTTTTCGAGTCGTTCAATCTGGGTAGCACTGACAGTGAGGATGGCCAGAGCGTATTCAATGGGGGAAAGGACCAGACCGTAGAATAGAAGTATTAGTAGTCTTTGCTCAATATTGGAAGCAGCCATAATCCTCATTGCAGATAGACCTTTGCGTGCTTTTGTTATCACATGGTCAACGTGTTCCCTAAATGACAAGATGCGATCAAACCTCACCCCGAGAAACGTCATAACGTTGGTTCTGATCAATACATTATCACGCATTTTCACTTCTGGTAAGTCCGACTTGACAATGTGATTGTTCAAAGAGAACCATGACACTGATGCCTTCGAAGGATTGACATAGGCATTGGAACCATCACACCAGGCGGCAATTCGATCGAGTTCTTTGTGCATAGTGCTGGCGATCTCCTGTCTATCACGCCCTCGTCGATAAATCAAAATGTCATCAGCAAATGACAAAGTCCTTCCCGTTCCATTCAACTGCTGCTCAGCAATCATCACCGTATAAACGTTGAATAAGACTGGTGATAGCGGTGATCCCTGTGGCAAGCCTGGACATATCGTTTGCGGTTCTGAGGACCAGCTACCACATTTTAGTACAATCTTTCTCTGGAACAGGACCGCAGCAATCCAGCGGATCAGAATAGGATTAACTTCTAGTTTAAGCAGTAATTGCATTAAATAATCGTATGGTACTTTATTGTAGGCATCTTCTAAGTCCAACACTGCCGCACATGTCTCTTCTTTAATCTGAAATCCCTCGTACACATCGTAGGCGAAAACTGCAGCATTGAACCATGTCTCTTTATTTAACCTGTACCCTCCAAGTGTTGGTGGGAACTCATCATGTAGTTCCAAGTAGGTGGTCAATCTTTGTGCGACAATTTTTTCCAAAAGTTTGCCAACAGTATTCTGCATCGAGATGATTCTGTAGCCGCAGATCTTCGAGTGGTCTTTATTAGGCTTTGGTAGTGGGAACAAATAACTATGGAGCCATTCCTCTTGTATCTGGCCACTCTGGATGCTGATATTGAATTCCTTTGCCACGCTTTTCAAATCAGCATTCGACATCATCAGCATAAGCTGGGTGTATTGTGTGCAAACCCTATTTGTTTAAACAAATTTGTGAGTCACAGAAATGATCAATCTAACTTCCGTATGGGATATACAATGTTTCAAATTTTCCCTCATCATTCTAAACAGAACATTAAAAAAATATTTTTGTCAATGAACTGAGAAAATGCATTAAAACAAAAAAAGCAATGCTTCACCTTCACCCTTCATCCAGTAACCCCTAGTGACTCAAGAAATCATTATTTGGGTAAAAATTCAACAGCAGCAAATCCCAGAAACCCAGTTCAACTGCATAATAAAGTTATACTATGGCAGGTCTATGCAACTATGTTTGCTCAGGGGCCGACATTTTTCAAATGGGAGTTGTCACGGTCCAGTGGCACGACCCACAACATAGATCATTAATACAAGACAACTGGTAAGGATTCACGGGCCACCGCTGTACCAAATTTGGCCCACGGGCCGCCAGTTGAATAGCCCTGTATTAGGGCATCTGACTATAACAAAGTAACCTGTAGTCCAATGTGAGTGGGTTACTTGTCAGCAATGAAATGAAATTAACTAGAATATAACATTAGAAGGTAAACAGTGAAGTCATCATGTAAGTCCCATTTAGAAAGCGGCAAACAAAATGTCCCACATAAACGACTCTTGGAAAATGAAGGGACGCAGCAACTCATTAAATAAAGGAAGCAGAAAACCTCCATAAAATACAAAGATGGTGTTACATGAATGACAATACCAAGAGATGTCTGGAAGAAGCCTGTATGAGTTCACATTGGAGATGCAGTACACTGAAGATCCACTATAGATGACCTTAAACAACAAGCATAGCACCTGATCAAAAAGAATACTAGCATTTAAGTAGACTGAAAAGCCAGTGAATCTAATAGTAACACCAGACTATGGATGGCTCAAGAAAAGACACAATAAGACAAGTATGCATGCTAGAAAAAATCAGGCGAGGAGAGGAGTGGGTCAGTGTACCAGAGGAAAAGTCTGACCTGTGTAGGGTTATGATCACATGGGCCTGGAGTGTAGAGAGTGGCCAGCGGGTGCTACGGAGGTCTAACAGTTGATTCACGACAATTCACGCCCAGGTGATCTGATTATCTATAAAGATGGTTAAGTGTTGAGGGGGTTTATAGCGAAAGCCAATGAAAAATCTTAAGTGCAAGACAGCTTAACATACAACATCACAACATCTAGCATGAGAATGGAGGTGTAGGCAGTAACTGCAGCTCTCCAGTGGCTAGAGAACAACATGCACTCATGTCCTAAATGTAACAGACTCTGAAAGCATGCTGAGAAAGGTAGAGACAAGGATGCTTTTAGCAGAGTGGCAAGCTTCACTGGGAAGGTCACAGGTAGTGAGCATACTTTGGATCTTTTCTCCAGTCATGCGGGCGTAGTGGGTAATGAACAGGCAGACTAATTGGCTGGATCTGCACCACTGAGTGGTGAATTGATACATGACAAGGCAAATGTGGTGAAGGCCCTTTGGAAAACCTTCAATGGAATCAGTAGAGAAAGAAGATTATTATGGCCTGGAGAGAATGAGGCACCTGGGTATGACCAGAGGGTCTGGCCGGCTCACTACACTCAGAGGAAAGTCAAAACAGACATATAACCAGATTGTGATTGGTACAATCAGTACTGGAACTCTATGCTGGCTGCTGAAGATGAGGACAGAACATGCATAGGAATGCCCCAAGTGCTGTGATGTCAATTCTTGACTCCACTCAACCAGACTGAACAGCCAGTGAATCTGACTGACCATGCCTGTCTGTGCTGATCAGTCAGATGTCTAGTGCCCATAGCAAAATGTTTCTGTCCTGCTGCTCCAGGTTGCACTCTCCACCAACCTGGACAGGGTTACTGATTCTTGCTTATCGTCTTTGTGTCATGCATCTGACACAGCATTAATGATACTGATCGTGTCCAGTTCTGGGCAACTCACTGTAGTTGCTTTGCCTGTCAGATAATCTGCCTCGACCACTCTCACTATCCGGCACAAAGATAAAAGTTTATGTGAGTTTTGTGTGATGCTTTTAACAACAGAATCCATTCTTGTCTGATGAAGCCAGCCTGGAATTTCTTGAGCACCATCACTGAATCTTGAGTCACCCAGTATGCAAACATCTGTGAC